AATAAATATGTTTTTGTTCTCCTGACATAACTCAACCAATCTCGACCAAATCTGACCTAAGTGGATTGGTCAGGTTAAGACCAGTATGAGACCAGTTAGGTAACTCGACCTAACCCGACCTAAACTGACCAAACACAACCTGGGGGACTGGTCATGTTTCGACCAGTTTGGTAATCTGACGTAACCCGACCTAACCTGACCTATCTCAACCTAATGGGACTGGTTGCACGACGTCGCTGGTTTCTAGGGCCATGTTCGCGGTCTAATTTGATGTGGGACACCCTGTACGATTTTTTATAACATGTGGAAAAAGCACATTTAGCTAGATCGTTTTCCGTTTGGGTGAAAATTTTAGGAATTGCAGTTTAATAAGCTTTAAAAACGTGAAATGATTTCAATATTGTTTTTGAAATGTTCAAAACGGAAAACGTTTGAAAAAATAGTTTTGAAAACCCCTGAAACGATTAATTTTGTTTCAAACCGAAAACCTGGAAAAATTGTTGCCTGTTTCAAAATAAAAACTAATTTTTCTTTTTTAAACGAAAATCCTTAAAAATCGTTTCATGTGACCTCTGGGGGATTTATTTTCTTGAATTTATATATGTCAATTTTTTTCATGGTCTCTTGTGAAAAGTACAACAGCTTAAAACGAGCAAAGGAACGGATTTCCTGATTTCCTGATTTCCTGAACGTCTGGAAAATTTTGGGGCTGAACTAGAGTGTGGCGTGAGGGAAGGAACGTCATGAGCCTCCGCATGCAGACACGAGCCACCCAGATTTGCTAGGCAGACTGAGCAGAAACGAGCATGCGCAATACATCAAAATGTGCCTGTGTAATAAATGTGTGTTTTAAGTTTAAATAAAAAAATTTTTCTTCAAATTTTTCGACATATAGTGGCATGAGAGGTTTCTCAATGATGAGAAGTATTTATCAATTATCATAAATAGTGCCTAATTATGACGTATAGAAAGTGGTATATAAAACTAAACATTTTTTACGCGGAAAGGAAACACATTTAGAGAAAAGAATTTAAATTGAATTTAATTTCATCTTTTATAATCTTTGATTTAAGCAATACCTTTTTTTGTAGTTGAAATTAAATCTTAACATTTTTCCAAAAAGGTATTGTTTAAATCAAAGATTACAACAAAACAAACTAAGTTTACACCAGAAATATTTCTCCAAATATCTGCCTTTCTGCGTAAGACATGTTTAAAGTTTTAGTATAAATGAAACAAACCACTTTATGAGTCCATATATGACAATGTAATGCACAGTAGAATGTAGATTGCCAGAGGAAGATGTAATATTAAAAGAACCCCCCCCCATTTACCCCCTTTTGTGCCTGTTCAAAAGTGATAATTACGGAAAACAATTTTTCTGATTGTTTGTTGTTTGTAAATCTATACTTTACATTATCAATTCTATTTAAAAAAGATTTAATGCTTTTAACCGCGTTGTCATTTATTTATATTTGCAACATATATATCTACACAAATAGTTAAATACAATAAACATAAATTTTCCTTAATATTAAAGGTTTGTAATGGTAAATATCATCAGAAATATAGTAAAGGAATCATTTCAAGTAAACCTTCAACCAATTAATGTTATGTAAACATTTTACCACCTTCAGTTGAAAAAATATCTAAATTAAAAGCCATGATCATTTTAATTCCAGTCTGTATACACAGGTCAAATCTTTGTAAAGCTGAACCCAAATGAATTATTTTTATAGTAAAATTGTTGAATGTTTACTTATTCAAAGGTTGAAATGTTTACTATTGAGGCTGGTTATAACACATCTATAAAATGAAAGATTACTTGTTTAAAATCTCGAAATATCCTATCTAATATAATTACATGTTTACTTATTAATCGAAAAACTTATTCTTGTTAGAAACTGATAAAATGTACTCTTGTTTTAACCACAGATATACACAACAGATAGGACAAGAGATACATTGGTCTTGTTTATAGATAATTTCCTTTTAAATAAAATTTCTCTCCTGATCTCTGCAGCATTTTACTACTGAAAGGTTAGTACATTTTCTTGTCCTAACTGTGTATATACTATGTACTGACCCTTATAATTCTATACAAAACCATTTTTTCAATCACATTGAGTTGATAATTATATCACATTTTTTACCAGGTGCTAATTTAGCAATATTTAATACTTTACTTAATTCTACATACAGGAAATGTAGGTAATTAAAAAACCTTGAAATATAATTAATTGAAGTCGACAATTAGAATACAAATATGACATTTTCTCCATAATCCACAAATGTAAAATCTACAATTTTTCAAGTTTCATTTAGAGATTTTCTCATCCAGGCTTATATCCTCCAACTAAGAAGAAAAAAGCACATTAATTCCAAAAATGTGGCGGAAGAAATAAAAAAAATACTTTGAAAGCTTTAAAAGTTCTAGCAGAAGAGGTGCAACTAAATTTATTTGTGAGGGGAGGGATGTTTTTCAAAGAAGTGGAAAATTATAATACTGTTTTTTTTGGTAGGTCTGTTCACAGTGGGGCATTTTAGGGCCACAGTGGGTATTTGGGGGAAGGGGGGTCAGCAAAATTAATTTACATGACTTTTTAGAGAAGATTTAGTAATTTTGCGTTGAAGTTCTTAAATCCGACAGAAAATGGGTCATTTTCATGAAAACTCTTAAAGTAGGTATATTTTATACACGAAACAGAGTGTGCTGCCGAGGACGCCCTGAAATCCCTGATTAATGGTCGTTAGAACCTATTTAAATATCTTGCTTATCTGGAATTTGCTGTAATTTCTTGTTGTTTTTTGGAAATTGTTATGTCTCCTGTGTAACCTATGCACACAATGACCTCTGAAGTGTACGCAATTTAGAGGATTTGCTGGATTGTTTCATGGAAAATTATATGAACGCGAAATTATTTATAAATTAAAATAATTTTCACCAAATCCGCTATTTTGCGTACATTTACAGAGGTCATTGTGTAGGTAGGTCACACAACTACCATTTATCAATGATTCTGGGGCATCACAAGCACGCCAGAGTATTTGTTTCGTCTCTGGTTTTTTATATAAAATGCTTATTTTAAAAGTTTCCATGGAAATGACCTGGTTAATAAGAAACAAGCTTTATTTGACTTAAATTGGAGGTTTACGGTGTAAACTCAAATTTCCTGAACCCCCTATTCCCCATTGTGCCCCTCTAATCGCAATACAATGACTTACTTATTTTAATATTTCTTTAATAGTTATTAACAGTTCAAAATATTTGTTGATTCAATTTACCATCCAAGACATAAGCTTTTCAGACCAAATGTACCTCTGGGTCGTCTGGTATTGGCTTCTTAGGAGGGGTATACTCTGGAGGAGTAATTTCAGCATCCTCTGGCGGAGTATACTCTGGCGGAGGGGATACATCAGTTCTTGCAGTAGGATAATCTCCATAGTGTGGATCAGACATTGCATCTTCATCGTATGGGTACTGTACATAAGTATCATAATTATTTTCTTCTATATAAGTCTTATTATTCTTTTTCTACTGTTTTATATTTGGCAGTGCAGGTATACAAAGTTTGAATTTACAAACACTTACGAAATACCACGTCCTTCAGTTTGTAGGGACGAATACTATACATGCATTAAATCATTTTATCAATATAGTATTGAGTTTTAGTATTGTGCTTGCACATTGTTAAGTTAAAGAAAGGAATTATTGAACTAGCATGAACCTGGACCTAAGCATTCAGCGGAACCTCGTTAGTTTACTTTTATAAACACTTAATTAGATATATAGACATAAATGACAAATACACACTTGAAAATGTTTAAAAAGGAAAAAGGAAAAAAAGGAAGTCTTAGCCACTAACTCAACTTTTCTTATCCTTATATATTTGTAGCTTAATGGGGTAAACTTTTGATATTTCAAACTAAAATTATTTAATATGACGAAATTTATATTTTGAAATATCTAAGGTCTACGGCATTGGGTTGCTCCGCTCCGATATATGATATTAAAAGTCAAAGTTTGTGACAAAAAAAAACTTTGGAACACCTGATATAAAACGCTTATCTTTTATTTCTATTTAAATGGTTGCGGAATGTGTGTTGACTAAAAATAAAGGGATTGATGACATTTTTCATCGCTTTTTCTGATCTTTTGAAAGAAAGTGAAATGCAGATTTAACATTTTTCTTAAAATTTTTGCTCAAAGTATGAAAATTATTCATCAATTTACATAATCGTAACCTATTTTGAAATGGAATGATCAAACTGTTTCCATTAAAATTCAAAATTGTTCTATTGTAAGTAAGGTGTGACAAAACTTTCCTTTTTAAACTTTTGCATAAAACGTTTAGTATTTGAAACTATTCTTAAAGAGAATGTTAAGGTAAAATGAAAAGGGGTCAAGGCTGAAATTCTAGGAGTTGAACGCGACAAACATTAGTTTTATCTGACGTCCCTGTCTCAAGAAATTTATATAAAACTGTGTCAAATTATTTGAAAAAACTAATATATAGGTACATATAATATATTTTCATTTTTGAAAAAACTCCCTTTAAAAAAGAAATTCCATCCAATAGTTGATAATACCGACAGTATATATATGACCTGCATAATCTGAACCTTGTCCTGAGCTATTTTCTCAATCTCACGTAGAGTTGGTAGTGGCTCACTAGACACAGCCACAGATAGAACAGGAATACTGAAATAAATTAATTATTTAGTTTTTATATTTATGGCATAAAAGCATGATAAACATTGTTCTGACATTTTTGGGGTTGAAATATCTGATAATAATTAATTGATAATAATTAGTTGATAACTCACACATAAATAAAGTTAGATTTATCTTAACCCTGTAACGGTTACGTCCCCCCTTACCAAGAGCAATGACAACTAGTTGTGTCCAAAAAATAATACTCATTGAGCACAATTTATTTACGTACATAGGCTATAATAATAATAGTAATAACAATAATGATAAGAAGAAGAAGAAAAAATTCTTACTCAGTACATTGATAACTATAATGCCCGAAAAGGGCATTGCTCTGCTCTATAAATAAAATGAAAAGATGGGGTAAAAAGAATACTCACGTAGTACAATGATGACTGTCACCAAATGTTGTTGATAGTTTAGGATAGTTTTATATAAACAACTTATCTTCCGCCAGGGATAAAATTTGACATATAGTGTAAGAAAATAAATTTAAAAAAAGCTTTTCTTACACTGTGCATTTGGAACACTCTGTAAAAACTACTTACTTAGTATATATAGTTAAAATGAAAAAAGAAGAATATTTTACTCACTGAGTACAATGATCACTATGACCAAGATCGCGACAGACGTTGTCATATCTATGTCTCCAGGACTGAACAACTAAATTAAAAATTTGAAGTTTATTAGAACATTGATATTTTTTTTCTTTTTCAACTTTTAACTGTGTCTCTATCTGTGAGCATCTTCTCTTTGTACAATATAAAACAAAAACAAAAAGTTCGCGGATTTAATGATATTTTTTAAAAATTTTACAAAAATAAAAAANTATAAAACAAAAACAAAAAGTTCGCGGATTTAATGATATTTTTTAAAAATTTTATAAAAATAAAAAATTTGGGCCCAACCGCGCTTCGGCCATTTGGACGTTTAATGCCTACTAACACCCACCCAGACAGGTAAAGTATAAATATAGAAAAGACTTTTTCAGTTTTTTATATAGAAATTTTAATTTAGTTTGACATCTTTTCATTTCATAAGAATTTCTTAATAACATTTTGCGGAAAGTATCTCTATTCAATCTCTGTCTCGTTTTATTTTATTTTAATGTACTACAAAAAAAACTTACAATGAGTATCATACATACTCCAAGTGAGATGAGAGCAATCAGGAGCCAAACAAAAAATTCCCCTATCACAAAACCTCTTAAGTCCAAAACTGATGAGATTTGAGGGGGGG